GGTTCTCTTCTGTCTCTTTTCTGACTCTGGTTTGTGACTGCGCAGCATGCCTCGGAGGGAGTGACGAGTTTCGAAGTGTTTTCACCACTGAGATACGAGGAAGTGTCTCCAACTATCACCCTCAAGTCGTGGGTTCAGCCTCTGAGGTGAGTGTAGGTGTGCACAATTTGGTTCTAACTTTAGTTGTAGCTCCTTTATTGAGCCCATTGTCTGTTTTGTAGGCCCTTAAGTTCAAAGATAAAAGCGTTGGGGATGAGGGATGTTCTGCCTGATAACAGACAACTCTATGAGATCGTGCTCACCTACAGCTTTCACCAGGTAAAACCACCTGCACAACATATGAAGAGGAAAACGTAGCTTTTTTTTTTTTTTGGCCATGTGTTTATAATCTTCTCCTGCTTGTTTTTAGCCCAAGAGTGGAGAAGTTACACCCAGCTGCCCAATGCTGTGTGAGCTGCTGTATGAGTCAGAGTTTGACAGTCAGCTCTGGATGCTGTTTGACCAGAACAAGAGACTGCTGGGCTCTGGTGACGCCTATCCACACCAGGTACACATGAAGACCATGCCACAAGGAATGCCTGTACACGCATTTCTGAACCGTTCCTTCATACCTGCAGGTTGTACCTGCTTTATGATGATGGGAAAGTGGATTTTAAAAAAAGAAATCTGTTTTATTTTTACAGTATTCTTTAAAGCTGGAAAAGGGAGACTACACTATCCGGCTGCAGGTCCGCCACGAGCAGTCCAGTGAGCTGGAGCGACTTAAGGATCTGCCGTTCGTGGTTTCTCACCGTCTCTCCACCACCCTCAGCCTGGATGTCTACGAGACACATCGCGCTGCCCTCATGGCCAAGAAGAAGGTGAATTCTGTCACCTTGTCCCCGGGTGCCACACAGCCTTTCTACGTCACAGGCCTGCCAGATGACAAGTGAGTCAAACCCACCAAGGGGCCAGACATATTTAGTCTGCATATCCATGCTCCAAAACTCTTTATTTCCTGTGGCCTTGCACCGCAGCACCATTTTTGGTCTCTAAATAGATTTGGTTGCTCTTTACACGCAACATTTCATTTCATCCACTTCAATTACCACAGATACTCTCTGTGGTATGCAGCTCCAAGCTCGTTGGCTAATGACTCGTCAGTGAGCATGTGGTGTCACAGTCAGACCAGACCAGGTTTTTAACCATGATGATCATTATCATCTCTAGACTTCAAAACAGGACCACAAACCAGTGTGAAAATACTTCACCTTTAAAATATGTGAGTCTTTATTTATAATTCTGAATTTATTCTCTTTCTTCCTTTACTTTGTTTACAGGATCCCGAAGGGAACGAGTCCAGGATGCTACCTTTCAGGCTCTCTCGTCGTGCCCAAGAGCGAGTATGGCAAGAAAGCTGTGAGTAGCTTTGTTCTTTGTAAACTTCGATACTTCAAAGAAATATGTGGTCCTGCTCATCAGGACCCAAAGTCGTGCTGGATTTCACATTTCCTGCCAAGCATTCACTTAGATGCATTTAATGTGAAGCCGGCAGGACTCGCAGTCCTGAGGATCAGAAAACACCGGTGCTCGATTGCTCCCCTCCACGCACAAACCTGTTTAAGTTGAAGCCTGATATATGTCTGTGAAGGTTCTCAGTCATCCAGGTCATCGTAGTCAAAGGAGCTTGCAAAGAAAAGCGTCTGGACTTCTTTAAGTTGCTTGAAGACGTTTCACCTCTCATCCGAGAAGCTTCTTCAGTTCTAAGGTCAAATGGTGGAGAGTCCCAGATATAAACCTAGTGGGAGTACCCCCCACAGAGGGACAAAAAATCAGAATCAGAATACTTTATTAATCCCTGGGGGAAATTATTTTTTGTTACAGTGCTCCATTTTAAACCAACATTAAGACAAGACAGACAATACACTAACTAAGAATAGTACAATATATACATATATACACATACATACTTCACTCATAAATAAATAGTTGGAAAAGAAACATGTGTAGCTGTAGCAGCAAACAGTGTGTTAAGTGGATGCGTTGTACAGGGAGATGGCCACAGGCAGGAATGATTTCCTGTGTCGTTCAGTGGTGCTTTTCGGTAATCTCAGTCTCTCACTGAACGTGCTCCTGTGACTGACCAGCATGTCATGGAGTGGGTGGGAGGTGTTATCCAACATAGTCTTTATCTTGGACAGCATCCGCCTCTCCGACACCACCTTGAGGGTGTCAAGCTCCATCCCCACAACATTACTGGCCTTACGGATTAGTTTATTAAGTCTGTTGGCATCTGCGACCCTCAGCCTGCTCCCCCAGCATGCAACAGCATAGAGGATCGCACTGGCCACAACAGACTCATAGAAAATCCTCAGCATTTTCTGGCAGATGTTGAAGGACCTCAGTCGCCTCAAAAAATAGAGACGACTCTGGCCCTTCCTGTAAAGTGCTGTGGTGTTTTTAGCCCAGTCCAGTTTATTGTCAATGTGTACTCCAAGGTATTTATAGTCCTCCACAATGTCAACACTGACCCCCTGGATTGAAACAGGGGTCAAGTGTTTCCTGGTCTTCCTGAAGTCCACGATCAGTTCCTTGGTCTTTGCCACGTTGAGCTGCAGATGATTCTGCTCACACCACGTGACAAAGGAGTCGACCACAGCCCGGTACTCTGTCTCATCATCCCTGCTGATGCATCCAACCACCGCAGAGTCATCAGAAAACTTCTGAAGATGGCAGGTCTCTGTGCAGTGGCTGAAGTCTGTGGTGTAGAGGGTGAAGAGGAAGGGGGAGAGGACAGTCCCCTGTGGTGCCCCTGTGTTGCTGAAATCGCCTGAGCCAAGGTGTGAAACTGGGTGTGGGTCCCAATCAGCCAGAGTTTCAGGTGTGTTCATTGTGAAACCTGGCCCCACCTTATCATGCGAATTCCTGAGGTCAGATGGCCCAGGATGTGAGTGGGCGTTAAGGCGTCTGGGAAGGGATCTCAAAACTGGATTATAGATGGCAGACAGTTGGTGTCGTAAACCCCGCCTCTGTTCAAAGATGGTCGCTCACAGTGGACATAGATGGCTTCTTTCACTCCTCTTTCAAACCATCTGTCCTCTCTGTCCAAAATGTGAACATTGGCATTAAAAATCGAAAGAAGCTCCTCCTCTTTCAAACTCTCCACCATTTGACCTTAGAACTGAAGAAGCTTCTCGGATGAGAGGTGAAACATCTTCAAGCAACTTAAAGAAGTCCAGACGCTTTTCTTTGCGAAGCCTGATATATATTTTTTTCTCATTCATTTGGCTTCTGTTTCAATCCAGAATCAATCTAATGTGGTAAATGCGGCTCTCTCACAAATTGAATACAGCTGAGTCTGATTGTTTGGAAAATTTGGAAGAATTTTAGTTGGAAAAGACAAAGATTTTTTCCCCAACTAAATTAATGTAAGGGGGATTTGCTACTTACCACTGAGCCTGAGGCTGTTTGCAATAGTCCCGCCAAAATTTGCTCTACAATTGCTTTGTTTTGTTTGCAGAGCCTGTTCTCTTGGTTTTTCTTAGTTTGCAAGCACTCACTTTAACTTCCCTAAAGACGCTTCGTGAATCAACTCTTAATTTCTTTCTTTCTTTTCCTTTTTTTTTTTTTTTTTTTTAAGCTTTTGTGTGTTCGTGGCTTTACTTGGTGGCTGCGGCGCAAAAGACTTCAGTTTGAACTCTAGCAGCCATTTACAGATCAGTGTTTTCCACTTATACTTATATAATTATCAGAACCTATATAGTTCTGATAATGCACTGATTGCATTCAGTTTTCCCTGCTGCAGGAATAAAGGAAATAAGTAGATCAGATGTGTTTAGATTTAAATCTAAGACCACACGTTTAGTGAGCAACAGGTAGGTGTGCGGACTCTCCGAGTCTGCCAGTGAGGATGAAATAAAGAGAGAATCCTTTTTTCTGGTGTGCTTGTGTTGTCTCTTCCTTACTGTGTGTTATTCTGACCACCAGGGGCAGGCCTCAGCAAAACGACAAGGGAAGTTTAAAAAGGTACTGGATGAGCTAGAAACACTGTACAACAGAGCGTCCACTGCTCTCCTACCATCTGGAAATGGCTTACTCTTTACCTTAAGCTAGGATTTGTTACTTCTGCTTTATCATTTCAAAGCATGTCAGTATTTCTGTTCTTTGATGCATTGTTATTTCGACAGAGTAGTTAGTTTTCTGGTGGTCAATACAATTATCTTTTTAGTTATAATTGAAACTTTTATAACTGGGTATTTTTTCCTTAATTTAAAAATCAGTGAAACGGGAGGATTTTGGTGCTTTAAGTTAGCAGAGGGTGAGAATTTGGGATCATGATGATGCATTATGCTCAAGGTTGAATGACTTTATTTCGACTGAGCTGGTTTGTTTGTTTGTTTTGTGCGTGTGTGTGTGTGTGTGTGTGTGTGTGTGTGTGTGTGTGTACATTTATGCAGGATGTCGTTCCCGTCTTCTACCACTTAATTCCTGCTCCCAACAAAACAAAGAATGGAGGGAAGGAGAAGGACAAGGAAGGAGAGAAGGAGAAGGACGTTAAGGACGAGTTTGCAGAAGCTATGAGGGATCTGAAGATTCAGTGGATGACCAAGTGTGTGCACTTTCTCATCTCTTATGTCCGCCAACGCTTCAACTCGGCTTCATTTCTCGCTCATCCGTGTGTCACCTTTTACTGTTCAGGTTAGATTCCAGCGCTGTTTATGACGAACTGATGGAAAACTACGCCGACTACCTGGCACTGCATGTGCAAAGGCTCCACCAGCTGGACTCGGAAAAGGTGAAAGAGGAACGGGGAATGTGCCAGGAGTCGTGGGACGGAGTTTAAACTGTGCGACCTTGTTAACTCAGTCATTTTTTTCTTTTGTTTACGTTTAAGGAGCGTGTGAAACGCCTCAAGGAGGTGGTGTCAGCAGCAGACCTCGTCATCTCCCGCATCGACCAGACAGCCTTGGCTGTTTACCTCACCATGAAGACGGACCCACGGCCGGACGCCGCTTCTATCAAGAGGTATGTTGCTCCAAGGAGCAGCGTTAACACCACAAACTAGTTTTATTAAATATTTCAGTTTAGCTTAAGCATGAACCCCTGAGAAGGTGTTCCACACATAACAAATTTTATTAGTTTAGTTTGTTTTTGGCAGCTCAAACAAGAGCTCAACTCTTCAACCCATTGAAAACCTACTACATTCTGTGTATAGAACAGAATGCCTGTTCTATACACAGGCATTCTTTACCTTAGTTGTACATGAAGTACATTTTAGAATTTAGGCTCCTTTATTTGTTTGTTTTTTTATAAAAAAAAAAAGAACAATAATAATAATAAATTTATAAAGCGCCTTTCAAGACACCCAAGGACACGTTACAATAGGATAAAACACATAATGGAAAAATGACAAACTGAAGAACAATAAAACAAAAGCACAATTAGGCTTAACGTAGCCGTGCTGCTCTTGACCTCTGGTAATATTTGTGTTTCAGCGACATGGAGAAGCAGAAGTCGTCCCTGCTCGACGCTCTGTGCAGGAAGGGCTGCGCTCTTGCCGACCAGCTCCTCCTGCCCCCCTCGTCGCAGGATGGCGCCGGGGCTGTCGCCACGGGGCAGACGGTGGCTGAAGAGCCTGCAGAGGAGGCGGCCAGCAGTTCTGATGACATCCTGCAGAACATTTCCAAAGCCCTGATGGATACATTCTGGGAGGTGCAGAAGTGGGCGGAGCTAACTGAGTCCAAGGTAAGAGAAGTCAAATTGGTGTTTGTTTGTTTTGGGGGTTTTTTGTTGTTGTTTTTTTAAGATTTGGGGTCATGGCTAAAGTTTTCTTTCTGTGTTTCTTTGCCTTGGCTGCTCAGGTGTTGATGTTTTCATATAAACACGCTCTGGTGAACAAGATGTACGGGCGGGCTTTAAAATACGCCTCAAAGATGGTGGAGGAGAAGCCCAGCAAGGAAAACATGAAGAACTCCATCCAGGTACGGCAGCAGTGACGGCCAGCACATGATGACGTCTTTTTCACTGCAGTGATTTTTAATTATTCTTTTTTTTTCTGTTTCTCGTTCCTCAGCTCATGCGTCACCTCGGATGGACACACTGCGCTGCTTTCAGCGAGAACTGGCTCCCCGTCATGTACCCCGCCGACTACACGCTGTTCTAGGCAACGGCGCGCACACACCTGCATACACCCACGGTCCCATCACATGACAACTACGATATCATGTCCCTCAGGGTCACATGGTCTATGCATCCAACCAACCAGCTGCCTCCTCAGATTTTTTTTTTTTTAAATGTAATTGTTGATGAACACCAAAATAAATGATGACGGCGAGCTTAAGTGGAGGGATCACGCTCATCCTGAAGTTACCTTTAAACATGTTGTCGAGCAGCCTCGGCTGTTCAGCAAGAAAAACAACCAATAAATGAGTTTTTAAGAGCTCTGAACTCTCTCGAGGGTGGGCTTGATCCTGCAGCTCAGTCGTCGTCCTTTATTTTGCTGTCATCCACAGATTTTTGGAGGCGTTCACATCCACCCCATTCTCAGCTGTCTGGACTTCATTTCACATGAAAAACCTCATTGTCTGGTGTAAATACTGTAAAAAAACAAAAACAAAACAAAAGGGCCACGACCCGGTTTATTAGCGAAGAAAACAAACTGACTACTCAAAGCTTGCTGTTATACTTCAGAGAGAAGACGGAGGACTCGCTGCTGCACACGTGCAGACACACGGCGCCTGATCCTTGAGTTAAAAGGGAGTCACAGACAGAGCTCAATCTCCCTTTTTTCTTTTCTTTTGATTGTCCAGCCCGCCTGGGTTAAAGCTACCATTTATTCTTGTCTGTCTCAGAACACACAACAGTTTTGAGGTGCCTTTCTTCATGTACCTTAACCTTTTCTGATGGGATGAAACACAGGTCGTAGGGGGAGGATTTGACCACAGGAGGCGCTCATCTACTTTCACCCATCAACCTTCAGTGGTGTCGACGGATGCGTCGAAGCTCGTATCAGCAGCGCGACGAGCCACGTGCTCGCTGCATCACCGCCGCCTTCGACAACCACCTAAAACAGACCTCACTAACGTCACGATGCAGTCGCGGGCAGCGGTAGGATGTTCGGATCTGGTTTCATCGTAAAACTTTCACACAGTGTTAAGACGAGTTTCTGTGCAGCAGTCACGGCGTTGCACATGTACACAGTGTCATAAAATAATGTACATACACTCATAACTTACAGTATATTAAGATGCAATAGGTATATAACACAAAAATATTCTAATCGATGTGTTTTGAGTATATGCATGTCTTCTAGGATGTAAGGAAGCATAGTTTTGTGGAAGCGGATTTTCAGTTTCTATTTGAATGATTTTTAATCGCTGACGGTATCCTCTGATGTTGTTTTCATGTGTGCGTGTCTGAGTGAATATTATTTGTGAGGGTGTTTTTGTGTACATCAACATTTCTCCCAGCGAGACTGTAACGAAAGCCATTTAGAGGGGAGCTGAGCATAAGTTTTGTTTTTTGCTTTTGAGGACTTACACAGTGCTTTTGTCCAATTTATCTAATTTACACAGACCTTAAATTACAGCTTCTGCAAGCTGTGATGTTTTTTTGTTTTTTTTTCTTTGAACTTAATAGGTCTGGACATTTGCCATGTGCCACATGTTTCTCTACTCAAAATAATCCAGGCGAGGTTGGTGCCTGAGTAGAGCTCAGAGTTTATGATACACAATGCTCACCTGCTGAAAAGTGCGTGTGTGAGAAGTGAGTGAGGTTTGCAGCTAATGTACATTTTATTTTCCTCTCCTCCTTACCTTGGAATGGGCGCGGCTCTGAGGCTTTGTGCATGCTTTTTCTTCATGTAGTGACGATGTGATGTGTAAATGGTCGACGCTGCCGTGTGCAAGCATAGGAAAACGGTGTAGATGGAAAAAATGCTTCTAAAAATAGACAAACCTCACAACATGCTTCTGAAAGCTGTTCAGCAAAAATTCAAAGGGTTGTATTTAAGGGTGTATCTAACATGGACAGATCTTTTTTTTTTTCCCTTTTTTCTTTAAATCCATAAAACTTAAAGTATGATTTCTGTTTCATCACTTTAACCAAAGAACGATTTTCCACGTTAAGCTGTTTAATCATCGCTGCATGTATGAAGGCATAAACCATATCGGAGAGGAGGTGGTGGTGGTGTCACGCCCCACGTGTGAAGATGAACCCTTACCCTCCGGTGTGGATTTTGTGACTGTTTATGGTCTCATCTTTCCCTGATGTTGTTTTAAGACCTCTCTCAAGTGGAAGGTCCATGCCTACGAATGTAAAAGCAGCTGCTTTCGAGCCTCTTGTCCTCAAGGGGAGCAGAAAAATCTCTTCTGGGGGTGAATCGGTGGTCACAAATCATGCTTCTGTTTTTAGCTTCTCAGCAGCAGTCTCAGGTTTCTCTGCTGGAATCCATTTTTCTTTTTTAAATCTTCTCTTTTCTCCTTTTTCTGGAGTTTTGGATTGTTTTTCAGACAGATGTTGCGTTCAGGGCTCTGCTATCAACAATTACACGCTGCCAATGACAGTTTCACTTTTAAAATAATTTTAAAAAGGCCTTAACGTTCACCACAGGACTTTACCGTCCACTTCATGGCACCAAACAGACGTCTCATATCCGTTGCTCTCACTCCGCTGGTGTCGAGAAAGACTTCAGAAAAGCTTCTTACGGTTGTGTTTATATTTATAGTCATAAAATCTAGTAAATGCCAATATTTTATCAAATGTTACGAGATAAGGTTGTATGCTCTTAGTATTATTTTATACCTATTCTTCCTTGATGACGTGGGAAAGACCCCGAGCTACTGTCACTATTTTGTGGTCACATGGAATAAGTCACAATCAGAAAAATGACACTGAATAAAAATATTTGGAAGAATTCACGTGTTCACTGAGCATCACTTGCACATACAGCAAAAGAGACTTAAAAACGGTACAGCTGACATGCCAAAAAAAGACATTTCATAGCTTCTTTATACTTACTGTGGAGGGCCGAGAGAGCCGAACATGAATAAAATAAATACTTAAAATTGGGGAAAAAAGTTCAATTTCAATTCACTTCATTTAAGCCATTTAATATTTTTTTTCCTATTTTAATGACATTCTGACTAAATATTTGACTTGTTTGACATTTGTCTACTTCCAATTTTAATTAATCACAATTCTTTAATGGTGTGTTTAATATAATTCCTTTTGGCACTTATGGCCCTCCATACCCCACAGCCCAGTGAGTCCTGTTCAGATGATTTGTTTTATCCCAAACACAGTATATTTAAGAGAAAATCTTTACATCTGAGAAGCTGCCTCTTATACTACCATCTGAGGAAAAAGATGGCCAAAAGTCATCTTAAAAGACAGTTCAAGTCTAAACAACAACAAAACCATCTGCAGTAAACTGACTATTTATAGGCCTTCAAGGATAAAAAGTCTGATTTTTGGGGGGGGAAAGTGAATATGTTAGGTTGTTGGGATGCCGATCACCCATTAAAACCAGGGTATGTAGAAGAGCATCTCTGAACACACAGCATGTCAAACCTTGAAGCAGTAGCAGAAGACCACCACTACTCCTGTTGGCTAAGAACAGGAAACTGAGGCTACTCACATGGATTCACCAAAATTGGACAACAGAAGATTGTAAAAACGTCTGGATTTCTGCTGTGATGTTTAGGGTCAAAATGAGATGTAAACAACATGAATCCTACTTTGGATCAATGGTTTAAGCTAGTGGTGGTGTAATGGTGTGGAGGATATTTTTAACAGCACAACTTAAGTATTGACTCTTTTATGACCACAGTGTACCTGTCTTCTGATGTTAACTTCTATCGGGATAATCCACAATGTCCCAAAGCTCAAATAGTTGCAGAGTGGTTGTTGTTAACATGGAACAAAATCTCTGAGAGGTGTTTAAATCTATCCCATGAAGAATTAAAGCAGTTCTGACGAAAAAAAAGTGGGTCCAACCCAGTAATAAAGTGGTAGGTAAGTGTGTATTGACTCTATTTAAGTATTAATTACAAAATATGAGTATAGAGTGTTGGGGGATGTAATATAACTCTGCAAAAGTGTACAGGATGTGTGTTATCAGCATGATATAGAAAATTTTCCTATATGAAGGTTATTGTCAACCAGTGTAACACGCACCCCCGAGAAAGTGTCTAATGAGTCTAGAAAGGGACTGCACCATAGAAGGCAGATGATTTTCACAACACATTTTCAGCATCCTTGAATTTGGTATCCGAACATTTGTTTAGCAAACGTCACTGCCACAGCAGATCCAAACTCACACTCATCTCCTCAGATTTTTCTTTTATCCCCCACCAACATGTATAAAACAGCAGGTAACAAATTTTAGTTCAAGCTCATAGCAGCATTAGTAAACACTGGATCATTTCAATTGAATTGCTGGCAATTCGTACACTTCAATGGCTTATCCCATGGGAGTGTCTCAGGAAATCTATCCACACCTCTTTGGCCTTTCAGTCTCTACTTGTTGCCATGAAGATCTTCATCTCTCCATCCTCGGCCAATAAGCTTGTGTTAAAGGCCTTTTTAAAGTTCTCAGTGAAAGTCAAGTCAGACTCAAACCTGACCTTGTTGGCCCAGATTAGAGTTGTTCCCGGTTTGCAGAAATGCTTCATGGTGACCAGGAGCTCATCCAGGAAGTCGTGATGGTAGACCACATCAGCTGCCAGTATGTAGTCGTAGTGGTAGATCGATGATGGGTGGGTGCGTTCCAGGTCGTAGCTCCATGGCAGAGCAACCACCTGGGGCGTGTGTCTGCAGCGGTTTCTGGTGTTCCTTATCACGTTAGCCCGGAGATTCCCTAAAATCTCTGGCAAATCTGTGGCTGTGACCGAAGCTCCTGATGATGAAGAAATACATCATCGTTACAGCGATACAAGGGCATTGTGGTGTTGCAAGACTTGTGAAATGTTCAGTGCCTCTGCGTGTTTGCATATACATGCTTTGTGTTTTGTGTCAGATTGTATGAGAACCCTCACCCAGCAGACTGGCCACAATGGTTACTAGTCCTGTCCCTGCTCCCAGCTCCAGCACTTCCTTCCCCTTCAGGTTCACCATGTGCCTGTTGTTTTCCAGGAAGGAGCACAAAGCCAACGCCTTCAGGACAGAGGGGGATCAGACAAGACCAAATTACTGAGTGTGGTCCTGCTTTTACGATCATACTATGTATACTTATCTAATTTTTATAATAGCTTTGCATGATTTATAGTTTACAAATTACTGGGCCTTGGTTCATCCACTGTCTTAAACAAGCTGTTTTAGCTGCTCTGCCATATGGCCATCCTTCCTTTAAGCCAAGCCACTTCTGATTGGCCACATGCATGACCATATTTAGGGTATCCTTTCTAAGTGACATCATACTGTTCCAAGACTAAAAAAAACTGTCTGAAAGTAAGAAATTACAGCTTTTTGCTCACAGGCTTCCGTAACACTGTATATAAGACAGAAATCAAGAAAGCGTACAAAAGGTCCACTTTCAATAGTGTTTTGACAGTTTTCATAAATGCTCACCGCTGGCCACATCATTGCTCCAAAAGAGTCTATGGATTCATAAATAACGATATCCTCCCCTACATAATGATAGATATCTTTAGCAATGCTGCAGCCGATGCTGGGGATCCAGTTCTGTTTTAGAGCTGTCTCTTTCTTAATCTCCTGTCCTGTGGGAACAAACAGGACAAACAGAAATGAGCTTCAGTTCAATCAGACACAGTAAGGACAAAAATAAATTATGCATAATTCTCTAAGATTGCTAAGATGAGTGTCAGACAAATACTGGGAAGCTTATGAGTCAGCATTTGCCTCACTGTATAATTTGGAACACTAAAAAAGACAAATGTTAGCATTTTAATGGGTATAATGGTGTCATTGCGTGCGAGGGTCAGATAACCTGACAGCAAAGAAAAACATGTCTCTGCTTCAGTTCCTTTTAGGTTCAGTCACTCTAAACCAGCGGGCACCACATCAACCCCGTGGTTTCCCTCAGGGCAGTTGGTTATAGTTTTGGCTTGTCTACCTTGTGGCCTTACGGTGTGTCTTACATCTCAGATTTAACAGGAGAAGAATCCTGCCAGTCTCCTTAAAGCTGTTGTTTTACTTAAAGGTAAAATTACAAAGAAAAACAAATGCTGCTCTACATTTTTTTTATTTATAAGTATTAAAATCCGTTTAAACTATTAAAAATGCTGAATATTAGTTCCTGTAAACATTTTGCTACGTTGGCTTTGTGGCTATATAGCATGCTAGCACGATATTTTGGAGGCTAGCAACACTGACTACTTTTTGAACAGACAATATCAGGTGTAAAGCTTATTCAGTTTTACTTTCAGCTACATGCAAGTGCTAGGATGGTAGCATGCTTTTAAACACTGTTCCTGCAAATATTGTGTCATAAACATGTTTATAGTGTGCTATCTTAATTTGGCATTAGCATGCTAATATTTGCTAACTGTCACTAAACAGAATTTAAGTTAAAAAGGAATTTCACTGGTTTTGTAGTTATAAAGAAAAGTTTATGACTTTATGTTTTATGGTTTAAGAAATTTAAAAGTACAGCAGGAAGCAAACTCAACAGAGATCTGATGGTGGTCATCATGTGGAGACCATGAATGTTTGAATATCATGTCTAATGATTTTGGGCCTCACATATTGGATTATAATGCAAAATTTGAGCCATTTCAGACTTGGTCAACATGTAGGATCAATATCTGTACATTTAGCTTTTTATTTTTCTATTTTTAGTACAGGTCTCTTTATTTGGTAAGATCTCAATGGTCATAACTTGGTAGAGTTTGACGTCCTGGGCCTTCAGCTACAAAGGCCACAAAGGCATCACCTTTGCCTAATTTTAGGAAAATGGACAAGACCATGAATGTTTAAAAATCATGTCAGTGCAATTCCATATATATAAATGTTGGGATCACACATGGATCATAATGCAAAATCTGAGGTATTTTAGACAGAAAAGGGAAAAAATACTTTCACGAATCATTTTCTCTGTACCTTTAACTTTTCATCACAAATTTATAGTGAAGAAATGGTCCCTTTGTAATTGAGTGTCAGCCAATATCTCATGTAAAGTATATCTCTTTTTAGAGCAGGGCTCCTTGTTTGATGAAGTCAAAACACTCTGAAGAACCCGATACCCTGGGCCACCAGCTGCAAATGACCCAGGGCACAGAGGCATCACCTTTACCTAATATCTAAGACTAATAAGTCTCCTGAATGCTTTACTGCTTAAACATGGTTCCACAAGATTTCCAGCATTTTATAAACTAATATCTTCAAAACTTGTGAAAGGAAAAGAAAATTTGAGTGAACTGACCTTCTAAACACAAGGAGATTACTATTTTGTGTGTAACACTGATACATGTCCTGATACACTGGTATGCCATTTAAATGGCGCACCTGTTATATCTTCAGAACTGGAATCTGTGTCCTCTGGTTGAGCCTTCTCATCTGTGAGGACCTCCACCGTGTTCTCCTCTTCTTCACACTCAGTATTGTCTTCCTTTTCATTTTCTCTTTCATCCTCTAACATGTTGGTTTTTTCTGGTAATTCATCATAACTTATTTTTTCATGATCGTTCAAGTCATCCTCATTGGATTTTTGCTCCACAAGCTTTTCTTTCCCCTTTTTATCTTTATCTTCAATCTCCTTCCTTTCTTTCCCCTCCTTCTGTCTCAGCGGATCTTCCAGCATGACATCACTAAAACATTCCTCTCCTTCTCTACTTGTTGCCATGAAGATCTTCATCTCTCCATCCTCGGCCAATAAGCTTGTGTTAAAGGCCTTTTTAAAGTTCTCAGTGAAAGTCAAGTCAGACTCAAACCTGACCTTGTTGGCCCAGATTAGAGTTGTTCCCGGTTTGCAGAAATGCTTCATGGTGACCAGGAGCTCATCCAGGAAGTCATGATGGTAGACCACATCGGCTGCTAGCACGTAGTCGTAGTGGTAGATCGATGATGGGTAAGTGCGCTCCAGGTCATAGCCCCATGACAAAGTTGCTACCTGGGGCGTGTGTCTGCAGTGGCCCCTGGTATTCCTGCACAAATTGACCCTCAGGTTGTTCAGGACCTCTGGTAGGTCTGTGGCTGTGACCCAGCCACCTGAAAGAGAAATAAAAAAACATGTAGAACCTCGCAGCTCTCTGAAAACAGCTTCATCTCTGCCTACGTACCAAGGAGTGCTGCTACGACAGACACAAGGCCGGTTCCTGCTCCGATCTCCAGGACTGCTTTATCCACGAGATTGATCTGTTCTCGATGAGTGTCCAGGTAATGACAGAGAGCCAACCCCTGAGGACATATGTACATATTTAATCTTCTCTTTATGATTAGCAAACCCTGTTCGATTTAGTTAATGTCAGCCTGTTTGACAAAGCGAAATAGACTAAAATCTCTCAAAAAGTAACACATTGACATCTACCAGACTGGAAAGGTTACAAAGCTGTTTCTAAGGCTTTGGGACTCTAGTGAGCCACAATGAGAGCCATTATCCACAAATGGAGAAAACTCGGAGCAGTGCTCAACCTTCCTAGGAGTGGCCAGCCTACCAAAATTACCCCAAGAGTGCATCAACGACTCATCCAGGAGGTCAATCCCCCACCCCCCCACCCCAAGAACAACACTTAGAGAGCTGCAGGCCTCACTTGCCTCAGTCCAGGTCAGAGTTCTTGATTTGACAATAAGAAAGAGACTGGGCAAAGATGGCATCAATGGGAGAGCTCCAAGGAGAAATGCACTATCAACCAAAGTTGAACTTTTTGCAACATTTGAATCCTGTTACATCTGCCTTAAAGGTGATACAGAATTTCATAAAAAGAACATTATGCCAACAGTCAAACATTCTGGTGATAATATGATAGTGCTTTGGAGTGTCAGGACAACTCTATATCCATTACTTTTCTAAGCATCCTTTTTTGACTCCCTATATCAATTTTAAGCACTTTATATTCAAGTACAGAGTAGGATCATTCTTTCTCGATGATTCTGTCCCATATTCCTTCTGCAGCAAACTCAAACATTCAGCCAGAGTCATTAAAAATTATTTTCAGCAACAAGAAGAACAAGGGGGACAGAGCATGTGTCTGACCCCCTTGTTCCAGCAACCAGCCTGCCAAGAATCTCAAAAATCTGTGGGCAGGGGTACCCAGAGCTGTTGAGGTTGTTTTTTTGTTTTAGTGTTTACTGCAGTTGTTGAGGAGTAGAAGTACTGATGACATTTGTTTTGTATGTACCGCAAATTTCAGTGCAGCACTTCTCACAGCAGTTAATGTAAGTGATTAAAATACAAATTTATTGCCAATATTTGAAGCACTTACATAAAAAAGTAACTGAAATTTTGACCCAATCAAATTGACTGCGTTATCTGATGAGTTCACCAAGTTTGTTGTGGAGATAATCCTTGTGAAATCTTCAGATTTCTTCACAGTTGTCACAAACACATTTCATGGATGCAAAGTCAGCTAGCTGAGCTTCTGTGTCCATCTGAGTGATGATGATGATGCAACGTGGTTGAAAACTTCACAAAAATATTTGATCAAAATGTCAAAGAAGTACAGAAGGTCTGTGATACAAGACAGAAGCTGATAATATTAGAGAAAATGATTGCATGCAAGCTTTCAAATCAGGGAAACAGTGCTACTCACTGCCGGCCATATCATGCCAGCATACGAGTCCAGAGCCTCTTGAATGATGATCTCCTGGCCGACATAGTTGTACACCTCTTTCCCAGCTCTGTAGAAGAAACATGGAGCCCAGGCTGGTCTCTGCTGCTTCCCTACAGATGACTGATCTGTTTGCGAATCATCTGAAAGATCTAAATGTCAGGTACTCTGATCTGATCTGAATCAAACACATAACTCACCAAGGGTTATCCTACCTTTGTCCTCCTCTTCACTTCCATTTGTCTCCTCATCTTCTTCTTCTTCTTCACTTCCCATATACATGGTTTCTTCCACAGAGGTTGTGGACAAAGTATCCATATAAAATGCTCTGCAATGTTAGACAGTTAACTGAGACATGAGTCCATGTAGGACTGTATGTTAAACAATCCTCTAAATATTGTAAGTGCCTCACATACCTTTTGCAAGCTTCAAATTTGAGAAAGATCTCAGGAGCCACCCGAATGCATCACAGAGACCTCGGACTGAGGTGTTATAGAGCATCCTCCAGGACACACCCATCATCATCACAAGGGCACGGTGATATTTTTAGAGCAGTACCCATGAGAAATAAACACAAGCAATATCCCGGAGCAGAACACACGTAGAAGCAGACTCACACGGACATGCTACAAAGACGAGCTGAAGAGGAAGCCAAAAGGAGAGAGAGAGACAGAATGATATCAGCAGGCTGAGGGTGGGGTGGGGGGGGGTTTGTTGTCACCGGTACTTTTTGACTTCTCAAAGCTGGAACTTTGCAAAAACGTGCACGGTCTGTAACACCATACCCAGATGTATTAGGAATTCATGTTAAACCTGTAGAAGCTGGTATTTTTCTAACTTTTAAAGTTAAGAGATAACTTTACATTAACTTGAACACCACCGTGAGTTCAAATCAGTCCACGTATCATTTGTTGCGATAGTAAGTAGTCTAAAAAAAGTGGAGACACATGGGGCCAAGAGGGGAATCAAGGCCAATACATAATTTATACTTGGTTTGAAGGCATCTTGGCAGAGAGCTCCCAAGTTTGTGTTGTTTCAATTAATGCCTGCTGTTAGGCAGTCAACAACTGTAACTCCTGCATAAGGAGGAAGAAAAAAGAGAGAGACCAGCAATAACAACATGAAACATGCCTGAATGGAGGACATCAGCATTATGTCCATTAAAAAGCTTTTAATAATTCTGTATACGCCTTTTAATTAGTAATTAAAGGGATGATCACCATGTGTCCTCAAGAGGTCAAAGCTCAAGCAGCACTTTTATTTCTTGATCGTTCACGTCTCCTGCAATCACCTGCTTTTGCAGATGAAAATGTGGTCTCGTCTATTTAAAAAAGTGACGTGTGTAACGTGGAACATGTCCATGTTGTGCCTGCTTTTCCTGCAATGCCCTCAACTGCTTCACCAGAGATGTAACAGGATCAGCCCGGCATGCAGCCCCTGAGAAAAGAAGCGAGCTTCAGTAATATAAACCTCAGTTAGACCACCCTCAGTTGCATGAAGTACCACCTCCCCACCCTCCAGTTTCACCTATCATCCAGCTAAATCCACTCACATCCTAAAACACGAACTCCATCCAGGACCTTGGGGTGCTTTGACACATTAATAGAAAGCATGCAGTGGTTAAGTCATTGCCCGGTTGTGCTACCGATGCCAAGCAGCCTTATTTGGATAAAAGATGGGAGTTTTTAAGCTCGATGACAGGCACCACAAGTCCACATTAATCTTCAGCTGTTGAGTATTTGTTTTTCTTAATGGTTGGTGGCTGTGACATTTACTGACACCAGCTTAGATAGCTGCTTTGTTAAACAGATCTTCACCTCTCCTCTACCTCCACAGCCAAACTGCGCATATGTTCTGAGCTGGCAGAAAGACGAGGAACGACCGGACAGAAATGAGCCAAGATGTGTCGGAAGATTTGGAATCAAAAATTAGGTATCAGATTTTATAGGTCACATGAATAGAAAGTGATGGGAACCTTCCTTTTCCAAAGCAGCTAATAAGGCTCATTGGGGAGTTTCCAAAACACAAAAAAATGTGTGCCTAGTATGTACTGCCCAGTATGGTTGTGATCTTTCATTTGACCTCCTGAAGTTGTTTGCTGGTGAAAAATTACCTGCAATTCACTGTAAACTTAAAAAAAAAAATGTTTAAAGTTTAATATTTCATGTTTTTGGGTGCAGGAGAAGAACCCAGAATCACCACCACCAGCCTGATACAAGACCATGCTCCAATGCTGTTCATGCCAAATTCTCATTCTCACCATCCAGCAGAAATGCAACTCATCAAACCAGGCAACATTTTTCTTCTGTTGCCCAATTTTGGAGAGCCCCTGCAAATTGTAGACTCAGTTTCCTGTTCTTAGCTGACAGGAGTGGCACTCAGTGTGATTTTCCACTGCTTCAAGGTTTGATGTGCTGTGCATTCAGAGATGCTCTTTTGCATATGCTGGTTGTAACAAGTGGTTATTGGACTTACCTTTGTCTTTCATCAGACCTCTAACATCAACAAAGCATTTTGACCCAGAGAACTGCTGCTCACTGGTTATTTTCTATTTTTCTGTAGGTTCACTTGTCCATGTCTGCAACCTATATGCATTCAGTCACTGCCATGTAATTGGCTGATGAGATATTTATGTTAACAGTTGAACAGTGTACATGATAAAGTGGCTGATGAGTGTGTGCCATGATAAAAAAAAATCCTCCTGTTCTTAGCAGCTTCTAAAACGATTTAAATACAACCTCAGGAGAAAAACATCACACAACACACTCAACTGTTAATTCAACTGCACTACGGGCACACACCTTGGTTTCATCTGTTCAAAGGACATCGTTCATACCCAATTTTGCAAACCTAAGCTATGTTATCATGAAGAGGCTTTCTCCTGCAGTTCTTCCAAGCATACTTCTTCAGTCTTTTTTAAATTGCACTTTCATGAACTTCAACATTAAACGTGCCAGCTGAGGCCTGTAGAACCACCTTGGCTTGTTTGAGGTCTCACACAGACACACGGTGCAGCCCCTTTCATATAGTCTTGATGAGTTCATATTTTTATTTAAATTTTCAAAGAAATAACTTTCATAGCAGCTAATTTTCAATCTAAAACAGTTTAAAATAGAAAACATTAAAAACAAAAACAAAAAAAGGAGGTAAAGGTTGCAGTTTTCTATCATTTAATCCCAAAAATATAAAGCCTGACCCAAGGATGGTGATAGAGAACAAGTTGCATCCCCCTTCCTCATGGTCCCCAGAAGATATTTTATACAAGAACCATTAGTGTGTGTAATTTTATTAACCTTTAAACAGTCCGAGACACAGATGTGTGCTTCTCCAGTCCTTCCAGCAGTGATAAAACCTGATCGCACTGCACACATGAAGTCACATAGCCTCTTATTGAAAATCTCTGGGTTGTCAGAAACATTATTTCCCACATCACCAGTGCTGTGAGAAGACTGGATATGAGCAACGTGACCCTCAGAGGCTCGACTGAGCAAAAACACAAACACACACAGTAAACCCATCCAGTTCCTTCAGTGTTTAGCAGCCTCTCTGAGGTCCTTGGTCGTGCTGTCCCTCCTCCAGGCTCGGTACAGCTTGATACTCAGACTGGGAAGGTCGTACAGCTCCTCTAAGTGAAAACACTGCCGGAAGCGATCCACGAAGCTGTTCTCCGGATCCAGGCGGAAACGCATAGCCCACAAGATCTGAGTGTTTTCCTGGCACAGGTATTCAAAGGTGTCCATCAGCTCCTGTAGGTAAGGGTGGGCGTACACCACGTCAGCTGCCAGGATGTAGTCGAAGCGATGAGTGGCACATGGGAAACGCTGATCCAACTCCTGACCCCAGATCAGCTCAGTGACCTGAAAGCAGAGGTGGGTGGGTTGATTTACACACACACTTTCAATCTTTAACTCTTATGGTGATACTCCCGAATGTGACGCTTTAAAATATAAAACCCACTAGAGGGGTGTACTTGCACCGGCCCTTGGTGTTACGCGTCACATTGTACTGGAGATTCCCCAACACATCAGGTAGGTCAGTGGAGGTCACCTTAGCACCTGGAGAGACAGTAAAAGTAAAATTGAGGAATAACTATGGAGGAAGAGAAAAATAACTTAACAAGATTAAATCTAATCACTGGCTTGTGTGAGTACCTAACAGGCTGGACACGATGGTAACAAGCCCAGTTCCAGCTCCCAGTTCGATCACATTTTTGTCCAGCAGGTTGTATTTGTCTTGGTTGTTCTCCAAGAAGTGACAGAGCACCATGGCCTGTTAGAGGGAACCAAGTATATATTTTTTAAGTGACAGGGATCAAAATTATGAGCATACATAACATCTAAACTCAAGGACAATTTTTGGGCTCACTGAGGGCCAGAGCACAGCTCCATAGAGGTCTGTGGACTCTTTGATGAGGATCTCCAGACCAGAAAAGACGTATCCCTCCCAGACCTCGGGACCAGTAACAGGCGGGTGAAACTGCCGTGCCATTATGGCGCTGGCTAGTTCTGCATCCACAGCAGAACCTGCTTTGCAGGCATCTACAGAAGAGGCAGATATCATATTAACTGTGCTTATATAGAGTTACTTCACAGTAAGGGAAAGCAGGATCATCAGACATGATGGACAAATTTTAGGTAAATTCTCTGATCTCATGTGTCTTTCTTCACTGGGATTACAACAACAATTCCAAAAAAGATTAAATGCTTTGTAAAAATCCCCCAAACTCATATTGTATTCACAGTAGAACATAGAAAACATTTTAATGGTTTTTTTTAGTAACATTGAACTATTCCATGAAAAATATGAGCTAATTTTGAATTTGAAAGCTACGGTATGGAGCCCCGCAAGGGACATGGGAGAAAAAAAAATTACGATGAACTTTTGCGAGTTAGTTTTGCGAGATCTCGCAAAAGTCCGTCTTAATTGTTTTTCTCCCATGTCCCTTGCGGGGCTCCGTACCGTACCGTAGAAAGCAGCATCACGTCTCAGAAAAGTGTGAATGGAGGCAACGAAAGGCTGGAAAAGCAAGTGGTACTAATAAGAAATAGATGGTGGGACATTTTGCGACTAATTAGGTGAATTTGCAACATGTTAGAAACTTTCTTAGAAAAGAAGCAAAGACGGGCAGATCACTGATTGGCAAAAAAAGTGTGCAAATTTCAGACTAATGTTCCTAACATAAAATTGTGAGGACTTCTCATATCTCATCACCTGCAACATAATATTATCAAAAAAAGTCTGAAATCTGGAGAAATCTCTGTGCGCAGGGATCAAGACTGCAAAGGCAGCGCTGTGCTGGACAGTACCCTCCAGGAAATGCTAGTTTTGTTAAAGGTCACCGGTTCATCTGATCATGTGTTGCAATATCCTCTTCTATGGAAATAAGGCTGCTGTGAGGTCTATTTTTGTCATTTCCAGTGTGTTTGTTTTTTGTTGTGACTGGTCTTTGACACAAATTACTCTTGGATGCATCCGCTTTAGCCCCGTGACCTGAAATCCCATGTTACACCTTACACATTACACATTTTCTAACCCATGAAATGAAAGCCAAGTGACAGAACAAAATCACTTGAATTACAACATATTTAAACCTTTCTTTTCTCCAATGACACACACACACACACACACACACACACACACACACACACACACACAAAACATAAGCCAACTGCTCCATCTTTTATTCACTACAGAACTGTAGAAGCTCCAGCACAGGAGGGCTGTTCTATGTGTGCACCACTGTGGCAGAGTGGGAGCAGAGATCCTACACTTTCATCTCACAGACAATAATACAACAATAAGCAGAACTGCTGAAGTACTGGAGGTTTTTTTGTACTTTTAGCATCTCAGCTCATAATGCCTCTCTGATCCTGCTGCATTTGTTTGTAACTCCAGCTGGTGAGCCACATCTATTCAGAGCGTCTGACCCACAACTTCAGTTATGCAATGCTACTTTAGAGAAAAGGTCAGGGGAGCCCACCGAGCCACAATGCAAAGGTTGAGTGAGAACAGGGAGAGCTCAATTTAGAGCTCTGTGTGTGTAAATAGTAAGCAGATCTATCAGCAGAGCCACACGTCTTGCACGGTCTGATATCAGATTCATACTCGGTGCCACAATGCCAGCATTTATCATGTATTCTCTATATGTTTTTTTTAAATGACTCACCTTTGTGTCTGTTTTTGGGATCCTCCATGGTCTTGGGTTGCTGTCTCTCCATGACTAAGGGAAGAAACAGGACAGGAACGTCCAACGCAGGAGATCTGATAGCAGCCAAAGCAGTCCTTGGTTTATAATCAAGGCTGAAGTCTTTTGAATTTGGGTCACTGTGGATCCTGATCCCTAGGATTGTTAACGATTGCCTTCGGTGGTTTTAAGTTTCACACAAACAAAGTGTTTTCCAATTTCTTGTCCAGGACTCCCACACCGAGGCTCACTGTACCCGATATCTCAAGCTCTTTCTGGGCATGCTTAAACTCAAAGTGCATGAAGCAGTAACAGTGACTGACAGCAACAGCTGCACCGCCGGCTGCTGAACCGGAGCTGGAGAGGGAAGTGGAATAGAAATCTTTGATCTTATTCCAACAATTTAACTTGCAAGATTGTGAAGTTTCTCATCTGTGCAAAAGTTTAAACGTGTTTGTTTTTTCAAGTCAGGGTAGGTAGAAGTGATAGCACGGATAAAAAGAAGCTGAAATAAGACCTGAAAGAAGGAGTTTGAAAACCTGCATCTGTCTCAGTTTCATTGTTGACACACGAGGGCGACAAATGACAGGTGAACATGTACCACATCTCATAAATTTAATGCAAAATGAGCTCATTGTGGTCACACAAACATCTACAAGCAGGAAAATAATTTTCTATTAATAGTTCATAGCAGTTTTTAACAAAATTCATGTTTCATAAAATGGAAACCCTGAGTTTATCAGACATGTAGACGTCAGACATTTGGGAGTACGTATCAAAGTCCTCATGTCTTCTTCCCCCTGCCTTTTCCTCTCATGCTTCCTCTCCCTCTCGTGCTTTTCGCTCTGCATCCTCTCCGGCTCCCCTCGAACACAGATCGGGCTGTAACCATAGCAACTCCAGGACCACCGTCGCTGTCCTCACCAGAGCTGCTGCTGCTCATCCTGGCTCTCTTAGGTGGAGTTTTATTAGACTGAGGAACAGACTTTACTGAGAGGGAGTCATGACTGGTGCTACTGCTATCTCTGAGAGCTGTAAGAGGAGATTCATCAGTCATCTCTGACCCTAAAAAGCCTCCTCCTGCCACAGATCTCCTCACATCTTTCTCCTCTCCTCCTTTATCATGACTCCCTTTAGACTTAGACAGGGAATGCGTATCGTCCTCACTGTCGTCCTCTTCCTCCTCGGCTCCTCCTTCCCTCTCTTTTCGCTTCAAGCAGGTGACGGCTCGGCGGAGTCGCTGACTGCGGATCGCCTGCTTCTCACGTTGCTCCATGCGGAAAAACGAGTCTATCCGCAGCTGAGTCTAAACCAAAGCAGACAAGACATGAACGATAGAAGGCTACAAGCCAGTTTAATTTATTGTTTCTATTATTGATTTTTCAAAAGTTACACAAGCTAACTGGAGACATTTAACCCCTGAGACCCAAGTGGTTGTTTGATATGCACGGGTTTGAATTTACAGCATAATAGTACTGTTTAAGACTAAGACTTAACTAATGCTAGCGTGCTTACTGCTTTTAGCTCAATATGTAACCGTTCATTATTCTGATTCCTGCTATGTCAGCAATCAATAATCGTTAGCTAATAAAACATTTAGGCAATTATTTATTTTAGTTAACCTATCTTAGCTAAGCCAACTTTTTGATAACATGCCAAATTATAACCAACTATCTGCACTGTTTATTGTATCTTTAGGTTTTAGCTTAACATTTAGCTAAACATTTTAGCCATTTTATGCTGTGTTTAACAATAATAATAAATTCTATTTGTGTTTCAAAACATTCTGGGACACCTTAAAATCAATTAAATAACAAAATCACAGTACGAATAAAATTGTTGATACGCATTTTATAGAAAGGGCCCTAAGACAGAGCCCTGGGGAACACCACTGACAAGCTTGTAATCTGAAATGTATTTTTCCTTCTAGCTACCCATTACAATTGATCGCCTTCAGCTAACCATTTAAGTGTTTACTCATTACTTTTAACTTGCAAATATTCAACCATTATGTTTAGCTTATCACTAAATTTCTTCTCACTTGAGGTTACTGAAAACTGATCTTTGAAGAAGCTGTTTCCTGAGTGAAGACTTCAAGAAACTGTTTACATGTGGAAAAAGAACACAAAGATTTTGTCTTGCATTTTCAAAGGTGTGCGCCTTTCTCTCCTTTTTTGACATTGGCCTCCGTGCCAGGTTATTGTTGCTTTGACATGCTCACATGTGGATGTAACCTGGTTACCTGCTGGGTGTTGAGCTGCTTGATCACAGGCTGAAGAGTCTCCTCTGTTTTCCGACTGCTCCAGCCAAAACGACTCAGGCAGAATGTAAAGCGCTTGTTAAGAAATATTCATACATTCAGGAAAAGCAGGCAAACACATTCCCACAAACAGAGAAAGGATATTCTTTGATCATGTCCAGCTGTGGGCGTCCCCAGCTGAAGGAGCTGCCTGACTGGTCAATAGTGGGGTGCAGGTAAGCCTGAGCCACCACAGGGTTGGGGAAACCAGGCTGCAGTTTCAGATCCCTCAGCTTCTTCTTAACTTTTGTGTCCCGAGGATCAGACGCCAGGTGCTTTTTCTCTTGAGCCTCTGACCACCAGTTACTACAGTTAAATTAAAAAAAAGAAAAGAACAAAGGCAACAACAATAAGAAAGAAAGCTCAATGCAGAAATAACATTTATATTTACTCATGGTGTTTTTCAGCACACAACCCCAATCCTAAAAAATATGTAAATGCAACAAAAAAAAATGCAATGATTTGCAAATCTTATATAATAACATTATTCACAGTAGAACATTAAAAAAATGAGAAATATATTGGCTCAATTTGAATTTGATGGTGGCAGCATGCTTGAAAAAATAAAAATTGGCACAGGGACATGTTTGACTCCAATGACTCCCACCCCCTCCCTAACACACTGGACAATCTGAAGAGCAGTTTCAGAAACAGGTTCCTTCAACCTCGCTGTCTGAGGGAACATTACAGGAGGTCATGTCCTCCTGTTGCTATCAGACTCTTTAATTCATCCACCTGAGTCCAAAAGATCACAGACATCCAGTACTGATTGTTGTCTTTGTCTCTTGCGCACAGAAGCAATCTCACCCACCTGAACTGTATCAGTGGCTCCAGGCCTGGTCCTGGAAACTCATTCAGTATCTCCATGCCAGTCACGTAGCCGACCCCTGGCACACCCTCCGTGTAGTCACTTCCAAGCAGGTAAGCCAGATTTATCATTTTAGTCCTGTCCAGACCTGAGACGGAGGCAAGATTACAGGTTGTTAAGTAAACAGGAAAAATAAAGAAAAGGACAACACTCTAAGCAATAAGACTGTGCAGACAGCCTGTTACACAAACACCTCTCCCTCATATGTACAATATTAGCTTATGAAATTCCTGTTGTGATGTGCCATCTTAGCACTATTACAACACTCCCATAAATATGACACCATTGCAGCTGCAACCACCAATAAAACTAAATCAATCATGCACGGAGCCATGTGGGTCAGTGTGCTGGTTTAAGAGAAAATAACTATAATGTGCCCATGAAAGAACATGATTGCTGTGTTTCCACAGCAGTCATGTATGTAGATTTAATACATTTGATTGGAAGCAGGCTTGAATTCCATCCTTTGATATATATTTTTTCATATAACTACACACACACACACACACACACACACACAGCTTCACTGACTGAGCTGGCTCTGCAGGTCGCTGTGCTGGTAATGTTCGACATATTTGTCCTGGCTGAAGAAGTTCTTGTAAACGTGACGTCCTCCAAAGAGCCACACGTCCGAGTCGTCTGTAATGGTCCCGTGCGTGTGGTCGGCCCAATCGAGCGCCGCACACTGAGCCTCGGCCTCCATCGGAGCCACCAGATATGGGACGCCGAACAGCCGCAGCAGCTCCTGGTTTCAAACGGTCATTACTCACAAAGTACAATAAGATGATGTAGAGCGTTCTCAGTATCAGAGTTGGCGTTTAGGGGTTTAGGTCTCATTATGTCCCGAGATGTGTTAAAAGACTCTGATCTTACAATTACAACCCTTTCAGCTCAACAGGCTGCGGATGTTTCTGTGGTCATCTGAGAGATACTTCTGCTCTTAGCAGCTGATTACAGGAGCAGCTGACAGGATTAAAAACAGATCGCACACACTGAGCTTTTACCTCAGTGTGAATTTTATGAAGGAGAAAATGCTGACAGCATTTGGCTTTCAGGGGTGTGAGCGAGCCAGCAGACGCACAGCAAAGACTGTGAGGTAGCAATGACTCTGGGAATGTCTGGCAGAGGTGATGCTGGGAAATGTATCCCTGCTGGGAGTTTACACCTGCTCTGATCTGTCAGATCCGCTGTCAGCGCATTAATCTATTTACATGCTGGTTTCTATTTTTTCTAATTAAAGTGTACACATCAACTTTTTAAAAAACATATATACTTGTTTACGGTTTGCGTGTGGCTGTATGTGCTGATGTGATTTCTCTCTCACCTGGCTCTCCAGGTACATCTGCCCGGTGACTGTGTTGGCCATTCTCTCCTGCTGCTGTTTCTGCTCCCTCAGGTTGCTCTGCTCCACCTTCAGGGAGCTTTCCAGGGCCTCCAGCTCATCCTGCAGAACAAACACACACTTTTGCATGTCAACCTGCTCCTTATAGTCTTGTTTCTGTTTATGCTGAAGAATGCTTGACGTGCAAAACAACAACAAATAATTATAGATTAACCAAAAAGTCTGAAACTGTCATTTCTTCACAAACAGTAATGGATATAGCTGATAAGAAATCAAAGTACAGACATGACGTACGTGTTATTTTTGAGTTGCAAAACCTTGGTCATGAATCACTGAATGAGTGTTTTCTTAATAATATTAATACGAAAGGGTTGAGTATTGGTTGAGTATCCTCCCAACATCTGGTCTTTCCTCAGGAGACAAATCAACACCAGTTTGGTAAAACTTACTTACACGACCATCTCAAGTTAATGGACTGGGTTTGGGGATATGCCCATCATAATAATTCCTTTTTTTAATGATCTGACAGTTCGATATGAAGTGATCAGTATGACCTGAGTTGTTCTCTGTTAAAATGTCAAAAAAATACCAGTCTTCTGAAAATTTCAGCACTGAAGAGCCCAAAAATGAGCCCTTAGTTTCACATAAGAAGAAAAAAGAAGAATTTTTTTACGTCTTAGAAGAAAGTAGGCCACGTGTGACTATATTTGTAGTACCGCTTGAGTACTAATGAATCATCAAGATGACTAATTTTCTGTCTATCAGAGATCAGTAAACTGCAGAATTACAGAAACTTACAACATCAAAGTGTTCCCATTCATTGATGGCTGGAGCTGATCTGGATTCTGTCTCCGATTGCTCTTTCATCTCATTCTGCGCCTTTGTTTCTGCTTCTTCCTCTGAGTTCAGCGCAACAGTTGAGGAAATTTCTGCTAAACTTTCCTCTGAGTTTCCTTCTTCCTTTGCGTCATCTTT